CAGCGGTAACCAGCGAACTCTCCTCGCGAGATTCGCGAACACCACGGGTGGCGGAAATTCTCAAAGCGCATCTTTATGTAGACGACTTATTAACCGGCGCGGATAGTATTGAAGAGGCTCGCGCAATCCGAGATGAAATAATCGAATTATTAGCTCGGGGAGGGTTTACGATTAGACAATGGGCTTCTAACGAGAAAAATGTCATCAAGGATTTAGCAGACAGCGAAATACATGCGAATTTTACGGTAGAGATAGACCGTTCTTTGAAAACGTTAGGCATAACATGGAACACGCACACCGATAAAATATGTTACTCAACCCATCCGACTAAGGTTACAGAAAGACCAACAAAGCGAAGCATATTATCCGAAATCGCGAAGATTTTCGATCCATTGGGGTTGTTAGCACCGGTCGTTATGTGCGCGAAGAAATTGATGCAAGACGTGTAGCGGTGCGGGGTGTACTGGGATGAATTCGTGCCGCAGAGTTTATATACCGAATGGTCGGAGTTTGCTCGACAATTACATTTAATGAATCAGGTCTCCTTCGATCGCAGATTACTGATAGACGATTATAAGGGCATTCAAGTTCACGGATTCTGCGACGCTAGCAAGGTCGGCTACGGTGCATGTCTATACATACGTTCATACGGGATACAGGGAAATGTCATCAACAGACTGTTATGCGCTAAATCACGGGTCGCACCGTTAAAGACGATTACCATACCGCGGCTTGAACTTTGCGGCGCATTATTATTAGCGCGCTTATACCGCGAAACGAGCGATGCGCTGGGCATTACACCCGATAAGGTGATTTTCTGGTGTGATTCAACCATTGTATTGCACTGGTTGAGGACGTCGCCTCAGCGACTCAAAACCTTCGTGGCGAATCGAGTCGCGGAGATCCAGGAAATCACCGGCGCGAACGAATGGCGACACGTTAAGTCAGAAGACAACCCGGCCGACGCGATTTCAAGAGGCCAATTGCCTCATGCGTTTTTACGGAATCAAACGTGGTTTACGGGGGGAGAGGCTCAATTGCGCAAAGTACAATTGGACACGTTGCAATTGCACACAGTGCTATTGGACACATAATGTTGCGCACAGTTCTTTTGCGCACAGTTCTTTTGCGCACAGTTCATTTGGACACAGTTCTTTTGTGCACCGTACAATTGGACACCGTTGCTTTTGGACACAGGTTATCGAAATATAATTTAAAACACACAGACACACGCGTATGCATGTAGAGCCCTGTTTGGAAATTTTGTTAATTTATAAATAATAAATTTTTCTAAATCAGCGTGTGTTCAATTGGACAGTTCTTTTACGCACAGTTCAGTGTCACACAGTTCAGTGTCGCACAGTTCTGTGTCGCACAGTTCAGTGTCGCACAGTTCAGTGTCGCACAGTTCAGTGTCGCACAGTTCAGTTTCGCACATTTCACTTTCGCACAATTCAGTGTAGATGCACACAAGAATATTCTGCTTTACAAAATAGTTGATTTCACTTAATTTGGTTTTCTAATTCTTGATTACTTCACCTTATATCTGTTAAGCCTCGTCTACAATAGTCGCACAGGTTGTGTCGCATGTCGTGAGTAATAATGTCGCATGAAAGTTTGTCGCATGTCGTAAGAGTGTCGCTGAACGAGTGTCTACAATAGTCGCAAAGATTCGCGATAGCGTCAAATCGATCGCAGCCACAATGGATGCCCAGCGATTATTAATCTACAACTTTCTACAACTTTGCTCCCAATTTTTAAATTTACTGTCGTTATATTGCCGTTTGCTTCTTGAATCAAACAACAGAAGATGGTGGGTACGACCAGTAAATAGTGAAGAAAACCGGTGTTCCAAAGGGTTCCATTTAACCTATTTTCGTGAGCTGATGGAAACAGATCACGAACAATTTTTTTAGTGGACCAGAATGTGGCCATATCAATTCAAAAGTCTTTATAAACTCGTTCGTCCTCGATTGTTAAAAAGGAGTCGTCGTCGTTCATTACACCCAGAGCTAAGACTGGCTTTGACCCTGTCGTAAGTATAGGTCAAGCCCTTTATGCATATCTTACTTTTGTCTCAATACGTATTCTTTATGTGTTTTTCATTTTGATCAGGTACCTAGCGCATGGGGATAGCATGTTTTCAAAGAAAGCTGAATTTAGAGTTGGCAGATCAACGGCATACCGGATTGTGCCTGAAGTGTGCCGCATCATATGGGATATGCTGCAACCTTGTTATCTGGCACAACCAACGCAAGAAATATGGACATGTATTGCCGACGAATTCATGCAAAAGTGGCAATTCCCTAATTGCATTGGAGCAGTGGATGGGAAGCATATCCGTATTCAGTGTCCCCCAAATACTGGCACTCAATATTCAAATTATAAAAAATACTTTTCATTAGTCTTGATGGCTGTATGTGACGCAAGTTATAAATTTACAATGGTAGATATAGGACAATTCGGCAGTATCAGTGATGGTGGAGTTTGGGCACATTCGGATATGTCTCACCTTCTTGATAATAACTTGCTTGATGTGCCCCCGAAGAAAGAATTGCCTGGCACTTTCATAGCAACGGAATATGCACTTGTAGGTGATGAAGCTTTCCCCCTTAAGAAATATCTGCTACGTCCATATCCTCGACACCAGTTAACCGATAAAGAAAGAGTGTTCAACTACCTATTGTCACGAGCACGACGCGTTATTGAAAATGCTTTTGGCATTCTTGTGTCAAGATGGCGAATTCTTACGAGACCTTTATGTTGTTCTCCAGAAAATGCTGAGCACTTAGTGAAGGCTTTGATCTGTCTTCACAATTTTGTTATAACAGGAGAAAGAGAAATTGCTCCAGCTCGCAGGAGGTACTGTCCATCACAGTTGGTAGACAGAGAAACAGAAGAAGGTATGCTTTTAGAAGGAGCATGGTGAGGAGAGGGAGAACAGGGTGATCTAGTGCAAAATATTGGCCGGTTATCTAGTAATAACTCAGATGCTGCTGCACGCGCTCAACGTAATGTGCTACGGGATTATTTTGTAACCAGGATAGGAGAAGCTCAAGTCGTGTGGCAATATCAGCGAGCTTTCAGAGGCTGCAACATTAATCTTCCTGATCTTCATTAAATTTCTGTAAAAAAGTAATTAAAACAGGAATATATTGTAAAATTAAAGGATAAAATCTGAAATAAAGAACAAATAACAACCACTTTTATGTCATCTGCATAGATTTATTTATATTCTTCAAATACAACTTATAAGGCAATAAGAACACACTAAGAACTTTGAATAATAACGTTTCATATTTCAATTATATATAATATTAAAGTTTTATGTATAGTGAATAATACTGGCAAGTAATACTATATTTAGATTTTTATAGTTTGAGTCAAAATAAAAATGAGTTATGTGAATAAAAAAAATTAAAATTTGTGTTGCTTGTATTAGAGTTCCTGTAGTAAAAGTCTGAACAGTTCATTATCGCTGCACTGCTGCACTAATGCAATTAACTGACTGCATTAGTTCAACAGTACAGCGATAACGAACAGATCATATGACGCCATGTTTTGTCGAACTCTGTCCAGACTCTTACTATAGGGACTCTGGCTTGTATCAATAAAATAAAAAATTATAATTCTTTTTCTTATCATAAATTTTATATCAAACAAAACAAAAATATTCTACTTATATTCTTTGGCATAGCACTTTTATGAGAACATTGCACAAAAAGAAAAAGTGTTTATTCAGAAACATTTGATGAATATTTGTCTAATATTACCATAATATCACTCAAACATTTAATCTTCATATTTGAAGGAACTTTCTTAAGAAAACTTTTAATTAAAATTATGGCAGAATCCTCTTCAGTGGACAGAGTACGCTCAGGCGTAAAATTAATACCGATAGTATCACAGACAGAATTTATTTTTGCTGCGGTGTTTTTGATTATGCTATGCACTTGTTCTACCGCAGCCTTTTTTTTAGTGAAAAAGGAATCAGGTGGGGGAACAGTGGGCGATTGACTGCCACAAGTCGACATACTCGATGAGTGTACTGAAGGTACATCGTCAAATGATTCAACTACTGCTGAGTTTGATTTTTTAAAAGTATCTTCAACCTGTGCATTCCACTGGTGGACATTCTTTTCTATCATTTGATTTTCTCTTCCATCTTGATTGATTTCCTCTTCCACTCGGATTTTTTCTATTATTTCAGTTTCTTCTATCACTTGGCTTTCTTCTGTTAGTTGACCTTCCTCTTTTACTTGTAATTGATTACTTCTCCACATCACCTTTTCAGTATTTTTAGGAGTGCGCGTGATAGATGACGGAATGATGATTTCAAAAGGACTATCATTGATTTGCGTGTCTCTGCATAACTTTAATTTCTTTTTATTAATGTTTGATTGCGTTCTGCAAAGATAAATGATGTCAAGAAAACTTGGATACATGATTAAACCAAATCAAGTCAATAATGTGAATAGACTTACTTTCTGGGTTTGATGACATCTTTGAGAAATAACATTTCATTGAAAAGGGGCCACGTTGGCTTGTAAGACAGTTCATCGCTTCCAGCACCAGAACGGGGTTGACTGGCAGTCACCTTGCGCGTTTCTCTTGAGAATTGATCTCGGAGACTCTTCCATCGAGTTGAAACAGCATCACCTACATAAGATGTATTGTTTATATTAATATTAACCGTAGAGTGGTTGAGCACTAATATATACATAACCTCATCAATAAATCATTAGGCAGTAGTTACACTGTATACATAAGGATAAAAGAGTAGGACCTAGAAATATATGATTCTTAACAAATATTCCCTTACCTGTCAGTGGCTTTGACAACAAAGAACCAATCTGTGAAAACGCTTGACTGATGATATCCCTGTCCTTTTTATTCAGTTTAATACGCTTCTGCCACAACAGGGGGTTTGCACGAACAAAGGATATTATTTCCTTGTCTGCACTAACAATAAGATCCTCAGCTTCCATTTCTACGTTGTTTACCTCAACCCAAGACATCAGTAAGAAAATTCACTACCGGATCAGCTAGACATTCGGTAGACATGGTAACGCCAACGTACTATGATTGGCTGATCTCATGCGACACGCTTGTCGCAGTCGCAGAAAGTTGAAGTTGGTTCAACTCCGTGCGACAGGGGCTTCTGCGACTGCGACAGCCTTACGACCGGAAAAAATAACTTACAACATTCTCGTACGACATGCGACACAACCTGTGCGACTATTGTAGACGAGGCTTTACATGTGCAATGACACTGAAGTATGCGAAACTCAACTGTGCGAAACTGAAATGTGCGAAACTGAACTGTGCGACACTGAACTGTGCGACACTGAACTGTGCGACACTGAACTGTGCGACACTGAACTGTGCGACACTGAACTGTGCGACACTGAACTGTGCGACACTGAACTGTGCGACACTGAACTGTGCGACACTGAACTGTGCGACACAGAACTGTGCGACACTGAACTGTGCGTAAAAGAACTGTCCAATTGAACAAACGCTGATTTAGAAAAATTTATTATTTATAAATTAACAAAATTTCCAAACAGGGCTCTACATGCATACGCGTGTGTCTGTGTGTTTTAAATTATATTTCGATAACCTGTGTCCAAAAGCAACGGTGTCCAATTGTACGGTGCGCAAAAGAACTGTGTCCAAATGAACTGTGCGCAAAAGAACTGTGCGCAACATTATGTGTCCAATAGCACTGTGTGCAATTGCAACGTGTCCAATTGTACTGTGCGCAATTGAAGGCTTCTCGTTTACGGGCCCTCCGTGGTTAATCAAAGACGAGGGCGAATGGCCCAACGAAAACATACAAGTGAGCGAGATACCCGAGATAAAAGCGGACACGTGCCTAACGACAATAGCAGGTAATTTCGACATACTCGAAAGATATTCTTCATTCGCTAAATTACGTAGGGTCGTCGCATATTGTCGTCGATACCGACCTACTAACAAACGCGTAGAAACATTAAATGCGGAAGAAATAAACGAAGCGGAAACATGTATATTAAAACTTGTACAAGCCGCGCAATTTTCCGAGGAAATAAAAAATCTCTAGAGCAAACAGGCAATAACCAAGGGTAAACTCATTAGTTTAGATCCTTTCTTGGATGAAAATGACTTGATCCGCGTAGGAGGGCGTCTCCAAAACTCGAAACTAACCTTCTCACAGAAACACCCGGTATTACTTCCGAGTCGGCATCATGTAACCGATCAAATTATACGCGAGCTGCACGAAAACCATTATCACGCGGGGATTCATACTACCCTATACATTCTCCGTCAGAGATTTTGGATACTCGACGGCCGGAATCAAGTACGCAAGGTAATACGCGCCTGCACGCGCTGTTTTCGTTTCGACGCCAAGGCGATTAAATATAAAATGGGTAATCTCCCGTCGGCTCGTATACGCGACGCGATACCCTTCACCAATACGGGAATAGATTATTGTGGCCCCTTTTATATAAAGGAGAAAAAACACCGTAATCGAACGCGAATCAAGGTCTATGTGTGTATATTCGTATGCATGGCGATAAAGGCGACACATCTAGAGGTTGTGAGCGATTTGTCGTCCGACGGTTTCCTGGCGGCGTTGCGACGATTCGCTGCTAGACGTGGATTGCCAGCCCATATCCAAACTGACAATGGGACTAACTTTGTGGACGCAAACAATCAATTAAAGGAATTGTACGCCTTATTTAATTCGGATGAACACAAAAATCTTGTAGAAAGATTCGCTAGCGAACATCGCATTAAGTGGCACTTCATACCGCCGATAGCACCGCACTTCGGCGGGTTATGGGAGTCCACGGTAAAGTTGTTCAAACATCACTTCCGACGAGTGGTGGGCGACTCCTTATTCACATTCGAGGAGTTAAATACGTTTGTAGTCGAAGTCGAAGGCATCCTAAATTCCAGACCTATTACTTCCCTTTCCTCCGATCCGAACGACCTGTTGGTGTTAACACCGGTGCATTACTTAATTGGAAAGCCGCTAACGACCCTCCCGGAGGGCCATTTATCGTCTGTTCCAGCTAATCGGTTGTCTTGCTGGAAACACATCACAAAGGTACGGCAAGATTTTGGGCTCGATGGTATCTTGAATATCTAAACGAGTTTCAAAAACGTCAAAAGTGGACTAAGGATGGACCGAAGCTGAATGTTGGAACAGTCGTACTCCTAAAGGATAAGAACCTGCCATGTTCACAATGGGCAATGGGCAAAATCACCGAGCTACACCCAGGCGAGAACGGCATAGCGCGGACTGCCACCATTCAAACGGCCACCGGGGAGCTAAAGAGGACAACTAAGCTTCTATGTCCATTACCAATCGACTAACAATGCGTAAACAAAATGCGTCTTATCGACGCGCAAACGAAATGCGTCTTCCCAATGCGTAAATGAAAGGCGTCTTCCCAATGCGTAAACGGAATGCGTCTTACCGATGCGTAAACGAAATGCGTCTTATCAATGCGTAAACGAAATGTGTCTTATCGACGCGCAAACGAAATGCGTCTCAATTGTAACATGTTACACTAACACGTGAGGCATACGAATAACTCCCTCACAATCGTTACCAACTCGTTATAAACACTAAATCGATATGCAACAGTTGATCGTTCCTCTCTCACAGGGGGAGTATGTTGCGTCGTAGAAAAGTCGTGCACGACATAAACGATACGCGTATGTACATACATATATACATATATATACACAAACAACAAATGACGATAGTCGGCAGCCATAAAGTGGCACAGAACACACGCACCGACAAAGAGACCATCGGTCGACACATCCGCGCAAGATCGTATCGAAGATCAAGGCGGCGTGCGGCACGAGTTCAAACGTTTTCGGCGCCTGTGAACCCGGGCGCGCGGCTTCCGTGATCTCCGCACCCCTTTGTTCTTTTTTCTAAGGTTTGCCGGCCGCGGTTCGATGATCGATAGGCGGGCCTAAGGGCTCACCAATAAGAGTTTGGGAAATTTCCGGGAGTTTTAGTGGGGGATCACGGTATATATAGCCGAACGTGATGTTCGACGACACAGTCTTTTCGTGACGAGCAAAGAGTCCAGTTCGCTTACAATTCGGAAGCGCGACACTTGCCAAGCAAGATTGAGACGGATGTGCGCGACAAGGTCTTGTCCGAACAACGAGGGGACACTAAGCGTTACCGCGACGTATACGTGCGTGTGTTCGAAGCGAGTCACTATCCGAATCATACGAATCAGTGCCAAAAAGAGGGTCGTCTTCTAAGCGTTGCCGCGACCCGAGCCGAGCTCGAGACGTCGTCGTGGCTCAGAGTCGATCCTCGAGGCATTCTAGGCGTTGCCGCGACCCGAGCCGAGCTCGAGACGTCGTCGTGGCTCAGAGTCGATACTCGAGGCATTCTAGGCGTTGCCGCGACCCGAGCCGAGCTCGAGACGTCGTCGTGGCTCAGAGTCGATCCGCGAGGCAAGTCGGACTCGCGACGCGAGTGAACTAAGAAGCGTACGATATCTGTTACAAACTCAAGTGTACTGAACAATATAAAATAAACATTTATACGAAACCACAGTGTCAAAGGC